AGTAAAATAATCTAACCACGAATTTTTTGTATGATTTGTAGCCATGGAACTTTTAGTGCGTAGGTAAACAAAAATATTTTTGCACGGACGACCCTATGAAAGCAGTTACATATCTAAATTTTCGTGGCAAATAAATTTAAATCTTTTGCCACGCTATAACACTTTGTGGCTGCCATATAAAGACAGCTACAGATTTATTTTTCGTGGCAAGAGTATAAAATCATTTGCTATAAATGTATTTGTCGTGGCAAAAGTATGAAATAATTTCTATATATATATGGCTACAATACTAAATTTTTGTAGCAGTAAGTATTAATCCTTAGCCACGGACCATGTAAAGTTTGTAGCTAACTTTTAGCTACGTTACATTTTGCTAAGAATGCTACAGAAAAAAATATTGTAGCTAAAGTGTTTAGCCACAAAAATTTTCATAATTAGCTACGTTCTGTTTTGTAGCTATAAATGTATTCTGTTGTAATGACTTCTCATCAAATTTAATTTGTACCTATTAATTAACAGTGATTAGTCAGATTACTTGGGAAAAGTGATAAATAATTTGTTACAAATTACAATAGAGGAAAATATACAAATTTTGGAAACTTTACAGCTTTAGTTTGGAAAAAAAACCTAGCTTGTAACTCAAGAAACACGTAATCATACGTACAATTCATACTAATATATAAGTAAAGCAATATCAGTAAGTTACCAAAACAAAAACAAAAACCAGGTTATTACTTACTATTGAGAGCAAGAGAAAAATTGATTCAATGGCGGCGATTACCGATCATCCAATAATATGGACGAGAGGCAAAACCATCGGAAGAGGCAGTTTTGGTATCGTCACTTCAGCAACGACAACAGACTTCTCCATTGATATTCCATCGACAATCGCAGTAAAATCTGCCCTGTTTTCGCGTTCAAAATCGTTACAGAAAGAGAGAGATTTACTACACGAGTTTCAAGATTGTGATCATGTTATTCGATGTTTCGGAGCTGATGTTACTGAAGAAGATGGGAAGATATTGTACAATATGTTGCTCGAGTACGCGTCTGGTGGAAGTTTAGCCGATCGGATTGGTCAAAATTCAAGGCAAGGGTTGCAAGATTTTGAGGTAAAACAGTACGCGAAATCGATTCTAATGGGGCTTAGTCATATTCACGGAAGAGGTTTCGTTCACCGTGACATTAAACCAGATAACATTCTTCTTGTTGGTACGGAGAAAGTTGCCAAGATTGCTGATTTCGGGTCCGCGAAGAAGGTTGGAGGAGTAAAGAGTCAGAAAAAAAAGCACGGACTCAAAGGAACACCTATGTACATGGCGCCAGAATCAGTTCTTGATAACGATTACGGACCTGAAGCCGATATTTGGGCTTTCGGGTGCACTGTCTTTGAGATGGTTACAGGGAAGACAGTGTGGGATTGCAGTGAAGCTAACAACGTTGTTTATCTATTGTGCAAAATTGGAATGGGATCACCGGATTTGCAGAACAAAAGATTGTCAAAAGTGGCTGAAGATTTTCTGAGAAAGTGTCTTGTTAAGGAGCCGAGATCGCGATGGACTGCTGATATGTTATTAAAGCATCCATTTCTTTCATCTGATGATAATGTTGTTGTTCGTGAGCAGAAGCAGACAAGGAAAAAGGAACTCAACCCACTTTTGTTTATTCGGTATCTGTGTCGGTGAAAGTGATCCTTTGGTTGACGATTTCTGCAATAGTACGGAGATGGATAAGCTAAAACCAATGAAGCTGTTGGATTGCAGATCCAACAAAAGAAGAAACCTACAAGAAGGATGCTGATTATCAATTTTGATTAGAATGAGTATACAAATGTAAAGAATTATACTGATGTATAGAACTACGTTCGGGCTTGATCCCCATAGGAGATTTAATTAGTTAGGGGTACGTAGGCAGCCTGTGAGGAAAAAAAGATGATCAGGTGCAGCCCCTTGTATTAAACAAAAACAATTTTGTGTTTATATTTTCTGTAGTATTGAACAATCTGTACAAAAAGGCAGATTTTTGCATGTAATTTTAGTTAACAGTCATGAGTACATTCTCATTTCAACATATCTTGCAGATTTATATGTTGCATTTTGTATTTCTTAGATCATGATATATAGAAAGAGATCCTCTTTTGCACTGACTAGATTCTGTTTTTCATGTATGCAAAGTTATGTTATATTCTTTTATTTCATGGAATAAAAGAATATATTAGAGTAAGAACAAAAAACATAACAAGCCTCCTTTGTACGTACAATTAAACACAATGTTTGCTAAAGGGCGGGCACGCTCGACTAAAAGAAGNGGAGTTATTGTAATTAAGGAAGTAAAAGGAGACCTAATTACTAAATAGGTATCCAAAGCAATTCATGACATGATCTTTTTTTTAGGGGGGTAATTAAAGGATTTATGAATCACCAAGTGAATCATTACAAAACCACACCTGACATCAAACTCAGTCAGATGTCTCTATACTGTAACTGTCTTTCTCTGTATATCAGTCAAATCTCTCACCTCACCTTTTAACTATTCAGTCAACTAACACTAACCACTATTCAAATTTTATCCCATCACAGTAGTTATTACAAACTACAGCTCCTGCCAAAGTTAACCATCGTGGTAGAATTGATGATGTATAGTGAGCACATTTGATTATTAAAAAAAAGGACAGCTCGATACACAAAATATTCCGCGTTCACAACTGATGAAATCTCAGCAAGTCTGTTTAAGTGGGTGAAAGTATAAAATATAATGTTATGAATACTCAAAAGGACCAACAACCATAAAGTGGCAGCAAGATGTTAGGAATTTTTGGAAGTAAACATTTCTAATGACAACAAAATATAGAAAAATATCACAATCCTGGACGGATAAGTATCCCTTTTCAAGCTGTAAAGACAGTAGGGGTGAGCGTTCGGGCAATTCGAATTGGATATGCAAATTTCGGTTTGAATTTTCAATTTTCGGATTATAAAAATGACAATCCAATTAAGCTCGGATTGGATCGGATTCTTTAAGTTTGATTTCAGATTAATTGTTTGGTTATTTTGGATTTTCTATTTTAAGTCTGTAAGTTGAGAGTCTTACAAAAATGAACATTTAAATGAAGTCCTCGTGTTAAATTGCTTCGAAAGTTTCTCATTCAATATATAGTATTCAAGTAATGAAATCATCATCAAGTATAATAAGGCCGATAATAAGTGGTGATAGTAAGGCCATTTCCTAATAAAAAATATTCTGATAGTAATTTAGTAATTAGTATTGAATACATGAGATAATATTTAATTGGTGAGGACGGTATTGGACTTATTATATTGCATATGGATAATGGACTAAATATAAAATATATCCAATCCGAAATACCAAATCCAACATCCAATCTGAAATCTGAAATCTAAAAGATTTTAAAAATCAAATCCGTAATCTAAATATTTAAACAAAAAATCCAAAAAGGTCCGGTAAAAACAGGTACGGACCATATATGGGTCCAGTAGGAAAAGATTCACGGTTAAAACAGGACCATCCGAGATACGATCATAGGTCGAGGTATAGAGAGTCGGGCTCACCATCAAGATTTGGGAAAGATTGAAACGAGCGAGAGTCACGGGAGGATGATAGAAATTTGAAAGCAAGGTTTGGCGGCTATAATTTTAATGTAAGCACTTCCGAGCTCGTAGCTGTTTTAAGAAGCGTGGGTGATAAGGTACGGTGGCCAAAAGAAATGAGATCGAACCCAAACAGGCGCAACCCTGATCACTGGTGCGAATTTCACAACGATCACGGGCATAAAACAGCAGACTGTAGGTTGCTGCAAGGTGAAGTTGATCATCTATTAAAGCAAGGGTGTCTCATTGAATTATTCAGTGAGAGAGTTAAGCAAGCATATATGAAAAATAGGCAGGAGCCCCCCAAAAACATCTTCTTCCTTAAGGACCGTTAATGTGATAAGTGGAGGTGAAGACATCAATGGCGTGATGTACACATCAGCGAATAAAGTCTCCAAAGTCACAATTACCCACGGGAAGCGGGTGCGACATGTCTTAGAGAAAGAAAGCATTACGTTTGATGATGAAGACGCAGATGGCGTATTATCCCCACATAATGATGCAGTGGTAATATCTTTATTTGTACATGATACTAATGTGAAACGAGTTTTGATTGATCCAGGTAGTTCCGTGAACATTATTTTGCTAAGAGTACTACGTGAGATGCAAGCCGAAGATAAGTTAATACCAAAGGCGCATACTCTGTCTGGATTTGACAATTCCAGCGTAGTGACGTAAGGGGAAGAAATACTTACAACATCGCAGAAGGAGTTATCAAGGATACAAAATTTCAGGTGGTAGATATGGAGATGGCTTACAATATGATCNATCTCTATACTGTAACTGTCTTTCTCTGTATATCAGTCAAATCTCTCACCTCACCTTTTAACTATTCAGTTAACTAACACTAACCACTATTCAAATTTTATCCCATCACAGTAGTTATTACAACCTACAGCTCCTGCCAAAGTTAACCATCGTGGTAGAATTGATGATGTATAGTGAGCACATTTGATTATTAAAAAAAAAGGACTGCTCGATGCACAAAGTATTCCGCGTTCACAACTGATGAAATCTCAGCAAGTCTGTTTAAGTGGGTTAAAGTATAAAATATAATGTTATGAATACTCAAAAGGACCAACAACCATAAAGTGGCAGCAAGATGTTAGGAATTCTTGGAAGTAAACATTTCTAATGACAACAAAATATAGAAAAATATCACAATCCTCGACGGATAAGTATCCCTTTTCAAGCTGTAAAGACAATAGGGGTGAGCGTTCGGGCAATTCGAATTGGATATGAAAATTCCGNGGACGGATAAGTATCCTTTTTCAAGCTGTAAAGATAGTAGGGGTGAGCGTTCCGGCAATTCGAATAGGATATGCAAATTTCGGTTTGAATTTTCAATTTTCGGATTATAAAAATGACAATTCAATTAAGCTCGGATTGGATCGGATTCTTTAAGTTTGATTTCAGATTAATTGTTTGGATATTTTGGATTTTCTATTTTAAGTCTGTAAGTTGAGAGTCTTACAAAAATGAACATTCAAATGAAGTCCTAGTGTTAAATTGCTTAGAAAGTTTCTCATTCAATATATAGTATTCAAGTAATGAAATCATCATCAAGTATAATAAGGTCGATAAAAAGTGGTGATACTAAGACCATTTCCTAATAAAAAATATTCTGATAGTAATTTAGTAATTAGTATTGAATACATGAGATAATATCTAATGGGTGGGGACGGTATTAGACTTATTATATTGCATATGGATAATGGACTAAATATAAAATATATCCAATTCGAAATACCAAATCCAACATCCAATCTGAAATCTGAAATCTAAAAGATTTTAAAAATCAAATCCGTAATCTAAATATTTAAACCAAAAATCCAAAAAGGTTCGATAAAAACAGGTACAGACCATATATGGGTCCAGTAGGAAAAGATTCACGGTTAAAACAGGACCATCCGAGATACGATCATAGGTCGAGGTATAGAGATTCGGGCTCGTCATCAAGATTTGGGAAAGATCGAAACGAGCGAGAGTCACGGGATGATGATAGAAATTTGAAAGCAAGGTTTGGCGGCTATAATTTTAATGTAAGCACTTCCGAACTCGTAGCTGTTTTAAGAAGCATTGGTGATAAGGTACGGTGGCTAAAAGAAATGAGATCGAACCCAAACAGGCGCAACCCTGATCACTGGTGCGAATTTCACAATGATCACGGGCATAAAACAGCAGACTGTAGGTTGCTGCAAGGTGAAGTTGATCATCTATTAAAGCAAGAGTGTCTCATTTAATTATTCAATGAGAGAGGTAAGCAAGCATATATGAAAAATAGGCAGGAGCCCCCCAAAAACATCTTCTTCCAAAAGGACCGTTAATGTGATAAGTAAAGGTGAAGACATCAATGGTGTGATGTACACATCAGCCAATAAAGTCTCCAAAGTCACAATTACCCACGGGAAGCGGGTGCGACATGTCTTAGAGAAAGAAAGAATTACGTTTGATGATGCAGACGCGAATGGCGTATTATCCCCACATAATGATGCACTGATAATATCTTTACTTGTACATGATACTAATGTGAAATGAGTTTTGATTGATCCAGGTAGTTCCGTGAACATTATTTTGCTAAGAGTACTACGTGAGATGCAAGCCTAAGATAAGTTAATACCAAAGGCGCATACTCTGTCTGGATTTGACAATTCCAGTGTAGTGACGTAAGGGGAAGAATACTTACAACATCGTAGAAGGAGTTATCAAGGATACAAAATTTCAGGTGGTAGATATGGAGATGGCTTACAATATGATCCTTGGGAGACCATGGATGTCGTTCCGTCAACCTTGCACCAAGTTATTAAATTTCCATCAACATGGGGAATATGTCAAATACGTGGGGATCAACATACATCCAGAAGCATCAATTCTGTAGCAGATTCAAGTATGGAAAACGAAGAAAAATAGCAATTACAGAATCCAGTTGAGGGTATCACAACACAAACCTGAATTGAACAAGGACAAACAGACATGGACTCAAAGCCAGATGCCATTCAAGAACCAGAAGAAAATGAAAATATTAAAACAACGATTGAAGAACTGGAAGCTGTAATATTATTTGCACAATGGCCTGAAAGGAAAGTCTACGTCAGGGCCAATCTAAGCCAAGACATGAAAGGTAAGTTGATTGAATTTTTTAAAACTAACGTGGATTTTTTTGCTTGGTCCCACTCTGATATGAAAGGAATACCACCGTAGGTAATGACTCATAAATTAAATGAAGACCCATTGTATCCCCCTGTCAAACAAAAGAAGAGAAAGCAAGGAACTTTCAAAAATCAGGTGATTCAAGATGAGGTTCAAAAATTATTAAAGATTGGATCTATCCGTGAGGTAAAGTATCCTAATAGGTTAGCCAATACTGTTGTGGTACCGAATAAGAATGGTAAGTGGCGAGTTTGTGTAGATTACACAGACCTTAACAAAGCTTGTCCTAAAGTTTCTTT